TCGCAAGATATTTATATGCGGGCGTGTTTCAATATAGCAAAATACCAATAGAAATAAATCAGCGCATTTATCGCATTACATAAAATTGTAGAAATGTATGCGATAGAATAGCTGTGAACTCGTTTCACTGGCCAAGTGAGCACCGGACCCGAAAGTCATTGAACCCTTTTCTTCCTCTTGAAGTTCACACATGACTGCAGATTCTGTCTAAGCACGGGATAAAGGAAATACAAATGTGTATGAGGCGGTAAGAGGTAATTAACTGAACGGAAGAAAATATTAAATTATCTTCGATGAAACGATTGTAGAATGATTTTAATTAATTAACTGAGGTCGCAGGTTATGGAATATGCAGACTATTTCCAACTTCCGTACTTTTATTTCATGTGATTACAGAAAAAAGTGAAACCATTCAAGACCGGAATAGTTCCATGAAGAAATATGCATGTTTAGTGAATATAAGTAGTATGTATAATTTAAGGGGCACAACTAGTGTGAAATTTTCAAAAAATCTAATTTTTAATTTTTCCATATTTCGATAGGTTATACCTTTAAAAATAACATACCAAAATTTTAAATCGATATCTTAAATAGTTTTTGAATCACAGCCATTTAAAGAGTATATATGTAGTATATAAGTATAACGATCATTTTATCTTTAAATGCGTTTTTCTCGAAACAGCATTTTCCGAATTTTCTGCAGCGATTACTCAAAAACAAATGATCCGATCACTATTAATTTTTTTTTACATGTTCTATATATAGTTCTCCGTAAAATGAACTATCGATTTTTTTAAAAAAAACGCCGTCATTTTGTCAAATTTTGATTTTTTTTATCGTAGTTCATTTTACAGGCAATATTATCTAGTTTAACGAGAATTTTTTTTTTGAAATTTTATCCACCTAGAAGGCCGGAATCACTGCAGCAGTGAAGGGCCTTTATTTTGTCGCGTCGTTGGAGATCGACGATAACTTAAAAAAATATTTAAATTTTTTCTTCAAAAATTTTACTATGTACATGGTCTGTTCAAAAAGTACCCGGAATTACTAATAATTAAATTTCGCGGGTCTGGAGTGTCTGATTGTCAAAATTTTTTTTTTATTGTGTTGGTATACATACCCCTAAAGTATGATGAAATTTTCAGCTATATTCACTGTTTACTTTGTCTGTGGTAGTCGCTAAGGTTCGACGTGTTTTTCTGAGCTCGGCGATTTTTACAATGGAAGAATTGAAAAAGTCAAAGAATTTGTATTAAATTTTGCGTAAAAAATGAAATAAAGTGTTGCAAAGTGCAAAAATTCACCAGATATGGCTCCGTGTGACTTTTTCCTATTCCCAAAGTTGAAGAGACCCATGAAAGGACGGCGGTTTTCCTCGATTGAAGAAAATCGCCGAGAGTGCTCAAGGACATATCAAAAAGTGAATATCAAGGGTGCTTCAAAAATTGGAAAAAACGCTGGCATAAGTGTATTATATCTGGGGGGACTACTTTGAAGGGGACCACATTAATGTAGACGAATAAATAAATATTTTTTTGAAAAAACGAAAATTACGAAAACTTTTTGAACAGACCTCGTATTCTTAAATCATGTATAAATATATTCCTAAAATTTTGAAATGATTTATAAAGCAGTTTTTTTAATATGAATTCCCAAAACTCACCTTTTTTAGGCGGTTACACCAGTTGTGCCCCTTAATTTTTTTAAAAGTCATTACGCCATATAGAAGAACTTTTATGGTAAATTTGACTGATTTTCAATATCACCAATACAAATAGGTGTTTTTAATATCACCAATACAAATAGTATCTTCTATCTGGTTTTCAAATTTCAAATTCAAAATAAAAAATTAAATAGATTCAACTTATTTTTCTCGTCGTCTTTCCAAGTATTTTATAGCTCCTTGTCGAGATAGATGTAAGCAAATAGGCACATAGCTCGTTTATTCTTAACTAAGGAAACGACAAACGAATCCATAAACAAAACGTTCAACGGGCAAGTGGGCGATTGAAGCGCGTGCCAAGTAATTATATGCAATGCGAGACATATCTTTGAATAGCCATAAAAACGACAGATTATGATGTAAAGGCAAACTTCAAAGCACGCTGTTATGATCAATTATATACAGATTGATGAGATATAAATGGAAATATTTTGTGCAGTCCATAAAATTTATAAAATGCAATAAAACTTGACTAAATGGACAATTTTTTCTATACATTTAGCAACAATCAGAACTTAACGAGTTCTATGAGCCGTTGTGGCTTTTATCTGTGTCAACCTAAACGGTTATCCAATCGCTGTGGTAAACATTTTATTGGGGAAGCAATGCCGGGTAAAGGCTATTTTTGCTTGGAAACATAATGCTATCTATATTTTCAAGTAATAATAGATGTCACTGCTGCTTGACATCAGGCTATCCTGTAGCGTTATCTAACCTGGAACCTCTGATTCGAAGTCCATAGCTCTAACCACATAAAACAAGTAAGCCCAAATTAACAAATACTATATTGCAAAACAAATGTAATGTAATGTTACCACAGAAAACAAGTAAGCTCAAATTAACAAATACTATATTGCACAAGCAAATGTATATTGAATATTAAAAGAATGATAAATTTAGAACCTCATTAGAACTACTCAGAATTACTTTAGGTAATAATTTTATTTAAAAAAAAAAAAAACTATATTTGTTTTCAAAAACGACGAAGTTGATGCCAATGAAATTTGAAAACACCAAAAAAGTTAAGAATTGACTATTATTTATTTGATAGTTGTGACAAAAATAATGTCAAATGTATATGAAAATCAATTACAGACTCGTTGCATCTTTGTGTTTAAAATTGCGCAAAAAACACAATGAATGTTACATAAATCATAACCATACGAGGAACAAGCTATTGCATTGAAATGCTATTGTGCATTGAAACAAGGACACAAGTGGGCCGAATATGCTCTAAATAAAATAATACACCCAATGACATTTTTTACTAACGATATTCTACTTAAATAATTCATTCTTAAGACGTAATATCTAACCTTGATAAGTATATCGGAAAAAGTTCGATTTAGATAAATTAAATTAGGTTTATGCTTTTCTGTAACAAGTAGGTAAACAAAAGAAATTGATAGAAAGCATAAAATAACACCGCTCCTTGAAATTAGCGAGTTATGTGGTTTTCTGTATGCTTTTTACAGCTTCCCATTGTTATGTCTATGTTTACATTTACATAGGTTGCACCTGTTCTAGCCTATTTAGGTAAATGTACACAAATCGTTATAAGAAACCCGATTACCTTCGCCTGAACTTATATGCTAGATATGATCTACATTTGTGAAACAGCTGATACCCGCCAAGCCCACGTGGTGTATAATTGTTATGATGCTTATTATGTTAATGAGATAATTGATTTTGAACAAATATTTTGGATGCAGATTAAAAACTTGCAGAATTTGCAAAGTTATTTTATTTTTCTTTGGCAGACGGCTTTGCATAAGAAACAATACAAATCAAATATGAACAAAAAATATTCAAGGAAACGATTGCATTTAAAAGTACACATCATATGAATTTCTTACAGACAACAATAAACCATTAAACAATATACTGACGCATGTTTTAAACGAGCAAAACACGAACAAATAAAAATAAATATGAATTATCTTTGGCACCAACAATAAACGAGATGCAGATTAAATCATGTGCCAAACGATATTCTTTTGAAATATAAGTACCGCCTATAGCTTCATATGAAAAATCGCATTGAGATATGTACTAGATATTCGAATACAAAAAACGAAACAAAATTATTTTATGTAAAATTCCGATTGCATTGGCATTGCCAATAATCATAATGCCGCGTTTTTTATTTAAAAATTAAAAACGAGTTTCAAATGCTGACAGCATGCTCCATAGCCGACCTCTGCGTCAAAGTAAATGTCTACTTTTGTTATGAGAAATCTTTAAAAGGTCATGATAGTATGTAACAACAAAAATATTTTAGAATAATAAATACAACACAATTAGATACAATCATGACACAATGCATTTTTTAAATAATTCCTGTATCATCAAGTATTATAGTTATGTAAAGATGAAAGTTTAAAAATTAAATGGCAGAGAAAATTATGTTTTTGAAAACATTTAGAGAATTTTCTGTATATAGAAAATACAAAAATTCATGTTCTACCGAATAACCCAACATACATCAGATTCAAGATAAGATTTTTTTTATTGTGGATATAATTTACACCTGTCCAATAGATATTAAGTAAATTTTATAAGTAATAATGCAAATGAATTATTGAGTGCTTGAAAAAGTGCACATTTGCAGAAGATAAGAAAATATTCACCAGGAACTATAAATTCTAAATTAGATAATTATCGTCTATTGAGTGAATTTTGAATCCGTATGTATCCTGTACGTATATACTCATATATAAATCAAATCAAGTATTAAATCAACTCAACAATAATAAACAATTTAATTATTTATCATAAACATAAGACACATTTACTATTTATTGTCTATTTTCGTTACAACATAGTCTTATAACATCGCCCACGTAAAATTATGCCGCAAAGCAATTTCCCTATCAATCATACGATCTAATCGATTCATATGCCATTATTACAGAGAAATTGATCCGGACAAGTTTTGTGACAATAGTAATATATATACTTTGTAACGAAAACTTCATATATAAAACTATATACACGACATAAGTCGTGTAACCAGCTGAATAATAATTATACATGCGCAGCGTTATTAGCGATAAGATGTTATCAAACATTGAATATGGTTGGTCAATGTGACATTAAAAGTTCATGTGAAACTGGGGTATGGAATAGAAACTTGTTCGCAAATTAATATATAATTTGTATTATTAGCTCGATACCTTCAAATTACATGAGGAAATGGATACATTTAGGTATATTCTTTAAAATTTAAGCAAGAATTTTGAGATTATAGATATAGTGTAACATAATTTCCACTAACCTTTGTTGATGTTAGTACTTTAATGAAATTAAAGGGTCCAGATGGGCTTGCCTGTAACAAAGAAAATAAATTTATAACAAACATATTGGATAATTATAATTAGGACAAATATGCAAATACCTAATTTACATTTTTTCACAAACGAAATCATTTCCATTTCTTTCAAATTGTTAACGAAAATAGCATCGATGCTCGTAAACATTTATTTTAAGAAACATGTTTTTAAGATTATTAGGTGTGGACGAACACGTAAACAGTGATGAAGATTAAAAGAATATCCCGAAATAAAATAAAACTAAAAACAATAAGATAAAATTGGTCAACCGACTGCTCCATTGCCCATTTATCACAAGGAAGGAATACTGTATCTATATTTGCATTATCAATACTACTTGTATTGACAATGCAAATATTATATTTCTGCCTATTGATATTATAATATATTATCATTAATAGAACTGTTATAAAATTCATATTTTGTCAAATGCCATTTCAAATTTGTAAATTAATCTCAACTTCGAAGGAAATTTTTCTGAACATTGCAACCAAAACTAACATGATTATTACTGCGACATGATATCATGATTGCAAACTTAATCTAAAATTAGCAGTGACAGTTACATCTTGTGGTCAATAATACATACTCTCTGACTACTCACAAGATACTACGCCAAACCGTTTCAGGATAAAACCTCTCAAAGGAAGTCTATAGTTTCACACATTTCAAATCTCTCTTAAATAAACTGTACTTGGAAGACCGAACTGATTATTTAGTAGATTCTCCACCGATATCAGACGTTCGACTGACCGTCCCGACGTTCAGACGCCTGTAAAACAACGCTCGTCCTGAAGTGTATCCCCACCAAAAGGATATCGTGGTATCATCACACTATAATATATGTGAATTTATATGTATAAAGCGAAACACCCCATTCTCAACCCCCCAAGTGAAAAGGTAGCCTGGTGTAGTGCACAATACTGGGTTGGTTTCCACCCGACGGATCCGCGCTAACCGCGTTCCCTTATGACATGACAAACACGAATCGAACACAGGAAGCATGATTTTGACGCGACAGAAATACAAAAATAACGCAGAGACGAATCATAAAAGGATTTGTTCTAATCGGGGGAATAAAAAACCTAAATACTTGGATATAAGAAGACCCTAAAGCGAAATTATAATCGCTAAAAGCGGATGTACTTCGTTAATTTACTTTTACATTGATTTTTTCGAACAAAATTTTATTGGTAAGAGATGAATCAAATTCAATATCTGATATTAAAGCTATCTGCGAGCGACCAAATCCAATGAGTATTTCCAAATTCGAAACCCGCCCAGAAAATCCTGATGTCAAGCAATAGTGACATCAGTGTTCACTTGAGCAACGTAATTCCAAGTGATTCAAATATGGCTCTATATTTTTTTTTCAAGTGAAAATAGATCCTCCCGGACATTGCTGCATCAATGAACAAATCAACCCTATTAGATAAATTCTCATAACAAAATAATCAAATATGGATGGATCGACCGCTGGGTTACCATCTAAAAAGTAGAAGAAAAGGAGAAGTTTCAGGCCAGCAGCTTAGAGCTCTGATTGCTGTTAAAATATGAGAATAAAAAATATATATTTGCAAGGAAAATAGGCCTTTCAAGGCTTTGCTGCACTACCCGTTTTAGAAAGACATGGGATTACTTTCTAATAGGATTCTGTATAAGGCAAAACATAAAATAAAACTAGTTGAGTGTATGGCATCGTGCTTAAGGCAAATTGCTGGAACTTCCCGTACCGTAACGAAATATTCGAGGAATACTGAATGTTTTGAAATAGATTATTATTAATATTGTAACATTGCCTAATATTTATAAGAATTATATAAACTGAATTGCAAAGTTCAAATTATTTGTTCAAAGTATATTAGAACTTTAGTCAGAATTAAAAAAAAAATCTGAATTATTTTCGATATACAAAAAAATTTTTTTTTGAAAAAAAAAAGATTGAAACAAAAATTTTTTTTCAAGATCAATTTTTTTGTTAAGACAAGCAGAAAGCTCTTTGAATCATTTAAATCGGACGCTTAGTTCTCTCAAAAACTGCCATTTTTTGCACATTTAGCTCCGTATCTTGGAAATGGCTGGGCCTGCCTTTGCCAAAATCTGATAAACACTTCTCCCAATCAATACTAATTGAATGTTTTTAGAACATTAAAATCGGATGCTCCGTTCTCTCAAAAACTCGATTTCTATATTCTAAACGAGACTGGAAATTTGTATCCATACATACATACATACACACACACATCCATTTTTTCTGAGGTATGCCAAAATGTTCAGAAACCTTCAAAACGTCGAGAAATGAAAAAATTTTCAATTTCGATTTTCGGCCCATTACAATAACTTACCCTACGGGAAGTTAATAAAAACTATGTCTCAGATAATAAAAACAATCAAAAATAAAAACTATGTCTCTGATAGTAAGAACAATTATTGCCTTCCTAACAACGTAGTTCTTAGAAATATGCAGTGCTCTAAACATTTATATAACATGTAAAAGTTCTGACTGCAGATAATAAAAAAATATAATAAAATATACTAATTTGTAGCCTGACAAATTATAATATCAGTTAATGATAGGATCAGTACTGATGAAAATATTAGAAAAACAGGGGGGCGCAATGCAAAAAGGTTGGAAATTACTGTATCTTATCTTCAAGTTATTTGGAAATCAATTTTCTATCAAATTTTTTTTATTAGTTTGCCACATATATGAAAATTCAGTTCATGGTTTAACAAAAACAAAAAAACAATAGTGAAATATTACTAGTCTTAAGTTTAACCTAAGTAATTGAATTATGAGATATAGCTCAAAATTTACATTATTGGTAAACAATATTGAATCATAATTGTTTATGAAGAAAATAATGCTGTTATCATTTTCATCTTCAAAACATTCATGGACCTTAACGATTGAAAATTCATGCTCCCAAGTAATTCAATATACAAAGTATAAAAATGCTCCACCGAGGTCTAAAAAATTTCGGCAAATATAATTCAATTACCAATACTTTTGGTATTGAATTTCCTCGATGCCGTACTGGTAATTGTGCTCGATACGAATGTCGAAGGATAATTATGAAAATGGAATAAATAAGGGCTAGAAGGAGTATGAGGTTAAAAACAAAGTGGGGATAGAGATATGTTGACATCGAACCTTTGTGTTGGAAAATATGAAATCGTGGAGAGCTCTATATGGCTATTGGAAAAGGTGGGGGATAAAACATGCACGTGGGGATGTGTTCGAATTGCCATACGGAATTATCTGAATAAGAGGTTAAAAAGCTCTAACAATAACAGGAATTAACAAAACCTGGATACAGAAAATTATGTAATACATTGTATTACTTTATTGAAGAATAGAAAATTATTATATTACAAGAATTCATACCTGGACGTCCAATCAGTAGATTGACATTCGATTGAAACATTCTAAGTACTTCCGAAAATTTGCTAATGTTCCATATGGGATAGGTATAAAAATCATACAGATATAAAAAAAAACAAACCAGAAATAATACGCTTTTTTATTGAACTGGATAATTTTTTCTCTAATAATCAATCATAAAATATAGAATGAATAATAATCATTCTGGAGTAACTAAGTTAGAAGTAAAAGCTAATCCTTGTTACTTTTTAAGAGAATTAAAGTATTTTTTCTATTTTATTTTATATATTTTTATTTATATTTTTGCAAATTTTAAAATTAAAAATTGTATTTTTAACATTTACCAGTGCTTCCTGAAATTCAAATCAATTAATTTATTTTTATCTTTACGACCAATTCATTCAGTATAAACATATAATAAAAGATAAACTGATCAATGATGATTACAACATCCGTTAAGCAAAACTAACTAGAGAATATACAGAATTAGATATCATAAAACTCTGGAAATATTATTGAACGTTTCTCAGATTTGTACATTTTATTTTTATCAAACGAAGGATTAGCAATCTTGAAAAGGAATTTATAATAAGTAACAACAAAATGAGAATTGAAAGATTAATTAAAACTATAAAATTAGCTTTGAGTAGATAATTAAAAATTAAGTATGGACATATATGCAATACAAAATAGTATTAATAATACAAACTAGAATTTAATTTTAAAAGAAATAAGGGGCTCGCCCGTATGTAAGGATTAAGAGCGACGGGACCTGAATCAGAGGTCCCGGATTCGATACCCACTTCGAGCAGCCTGTTGTCAGGCAGCAGTGACAACGATTTTCACTTGAAAATATAGATAGCAATATGTTTCCAAGTGAAAATAGCCCTTGCCCGGCATTGCTGCACCAATAAAAAGTCAGCCCTATTAGATTAATTCTAATAACAAAAATCATCAAATATGGATGGATTAACCATTGAGTTACCATCTAAAAAATACGAAGTAAGAAGAAGTTTCAGCCCAACAGCTCATAAGACGTAAGGTTCTGATTGCTGTTAAAAATGAACAAATAAAAAAAAGGAACAAAATGTATCTACAGGGACAAATTGAAAATTAAGAGCTTTAATAAAAAAAAATATAATTAGCAGTCAGTAGGTAATGCAAAAGTCTTCAAAAGATTTAAAATTGAATACATAAAATATAAAATACTAACAAGAATAATAGTAAAATAGTTCGCTGTTTTTTTTTCTAAAAGCCAATATAGTTGTATTAATTGTACATAATATAACTTAATTTTCCGAAAAAATTCCACTGGTTGTAGAAAAAGAGTGTATATAAAAAACGGCATACGGTCGATAATAATTGTGGCATTAAACGTAAATAATACATTAGACTTGTTTGTTCTTTTCCTCATGTATATAATTAGGGTGTACATATAGATAGGAACGTGGGACATGCGAATAGCAGGTTCACATATACGTTAGAAAATCGATAGAAAATTGATTGAAATGGACTAGAAAGACTGTCAGGCCGCTGACCAATTGATAAATTAAAGCCAAGGATAAAATAAAAAAAAAACCAAATCCCACAAGAAATTGATAAATTAATTTA